GAATATTGTGATAAGTTCCAAATGTTTTATGAAAATAAACTTTGTTTAATTTGTCATTAAAAGTATCCAATTTAAAAAATTAATTTTTGTTCTATATTTCAAATATTCTATCGATTAGATATGTCACAAAATTTAGTTAACAAGTATTAAATTGTATATCATTGTTTATCTTCGTTATGATGAACTTTATATAAAGCTTCAAATAAAGATTTTACTAGAAAATTCATATACCATTTTCTTATTTCAATAAATGAGCTATAAACGATATTTTCGATAAATTTAAAACATTAAGTCTAATAAGTGGATGCATCTGAGTTGATATCAAATAAACTTTTCAAAGGTAAAATCAATCGTGATATAGAACAAAATGATAGAAAATAAAGAGAACCATAGAGAGGATGCATCATGTCCAATGGACATGACAGTATGTATGAACCAACAAAAAAAAAACAGAAAGAACATCAGTACAACAGAAGAAAAAAAAATAGCAGTNATTCTTCTAATCATAAATTCATTAAGTTATGAACAATTTAGACTAGACTATTGAAAAATGCATTACTATTGTTATTGTTGACGACATCGGTACAACACAAGAAAAAAAAATAGCAGTTTTTTAACTTGAAAAAAAAAGGAAAGATGATGATTGTTCATTATCAATTGTTGATAATAAAGAATCAAAAAATTCTTCATCATCACGTCCAACACTTGTAAATTTTGATATCTAGAAAAGACAAATACTCATTTAATATCGGTGTATTAAAAATGCGAATGCGTATTTTAGAATAATATCTTACTGAAAATGTTTCTTTTTCCTTTTCACAAAATCATTCAATTGAATAGGTTCTGATACAATCTGCAATTCATAAAAAAAAATGAATTTTTTAAATTCATTTCACTATATCCTACTTGTAATGCATGAAGAGTAACTATTTCTTTTCTTTCTACCAGATTATTTGTAATATTAATAGTAGTATCTTTTCCATTAATATTATATTCCAGTTTGTAGTAATCGTCATCTTTTTTACTGTAGTCGATTATATTGTAGATTACCTTTAGAAAAAATAAAAAATATATTCTTAAGAAAACTATTTTTCTTACTTTATTTGTTGAAAAACGATCGACAACATAAGCATAAATAAATAAGAAGAGATAATCAAATTCTGTTTCGATTACTTTACTGTTTCGGCTTCTTAAAGTTGTTAATAAATGTTCCATAGTTATTTATCTAGAAAAAAAAAATTGCTTAATCTTAATATAACCTAGGGATATTGATTTACATTTAATTTATTATGTATATAAATTTCAGAAAATTTATATTTATAAAACATTATACTTAGGTCTGATCAAAAGTTCTAAGAACATTAAATAGTAATATAAAGATGCAGAGATATTTTCAATTTTATTTTATCAAATTTTGAGGATAGTTGCTATGATTATTTAAATCAAGGTCAATCCTTTCGAGACAATTTATTAAAAGTTTTTTTTGACCTCTTTTTCTAAAAAAATTTAAGCTACCTTGGATACCACATGAGCTAATTATATTTCATTTGTTTTTGAAAATTTAATGAAATTTTGTTCGATCATATCAGTTGTATTCTAGCATTACTAGTGATGTGATATCGATTTATTTTAGATAGTTTAGTCATAAGTCATCTAGTACTAATTGGCTTATTGAAGGTGAATTGTCAAAGACTGTTGTTCATGGAGACAGATTTTAACAAAAACTTTGTTTAGTATATTATTTAAATCAAATGATTCTGCGTATAGATCAAGGCAAGACTATAGATCACAAATATTATATTGAAAATTATCCAAAGCCTTTTGTTAATGGAATATGAAAATAAACATGGACATTAGATTCAAAATGTACAAAATTGCTTGACGATCATCATTGACTTCATACTCGTCCAATGTTATTAATTCTGTGATAGAAGAAGGCATCAATATAATGTCATATTCAACATATTCGCCAAGCCTGATACTATATAATTTTTGGCCAACTAATTCTATTGAATGTAGTTTAAGCGATTAAATAAATGAAACATGACTAGCTCATGTGGTATCCAAGGTAGCTAAAATGTTTTTAGAAAAAAAGGTCAAAAAAAAACTTTTAATAAATTGTATCGAAAGGATTGACCTTGATATAAATAATCATAGCAACTATCCCCAAAATTTGATAAAATAAAATTGAAAATATCTCTGCATCTTTATATTACTATTTAATGTTCTTAAAACTTTTGGTCAGACCTAAGTATCTGTATAATAATTACGAAATATATTTTCATCTAAAATGATATTCATATAAATAATAAGTTTATGAACAATGTGGTAATAAAAAATTCACTTTTTTGTGAACAATTATGTATAAAACGTTCATAATTAGCAGATCATTGTGTCTGATTAGAATTTAATTTAATTGATGTACAATAATTAATATAGAAAATTCTTGGAACTTTTATTTTTATTTGTACTAATTCATATTCAACTGAACATCATGTTTTAAGTATACCGAGTTGATCAGTTAATTCATATGTGATATTATTTGTCATGGACACGTGTGTAAATGTACAGTTACATGACGAATATATGTATTGATTTTTTCATTCATTGAATTTATTATTTTTTTATTTTGATGATATTTGAGGATTATTAGATATTATTGATGGTTGATGACGTTGTTCATGTTGAATATTCCATTTAAGTTTTTGATAATTAAACCATTTAATATGTTCATTTGTTGTGTGTTCAAATAATGATAGTGGACCAAGAATAATTCTCCATTGACGTGTGATTGATTTATCATTTAATTCATCACGTATACGTTTTAATGTTTTTTCCTATTGTTATTGAAGATTTCGTTTTATCAGTTCCAATATCTTCAATATCATTTGTTAATTGTTGTTCATTATTATCAATATGTGTTTGTTTATCAATTGAATTAAATACATCAGTTATACTTTTTTGTTTATATAAATTTTTTTTTTTCAACTAAATGTTTATGTAACCAATCAGGATGTGATACACCTGATTAGGAGTGGGAAGTTACCGTTCCCAGGTAACGGCCTGGGAACGGTAACGGATGCCGCATAAAAAGTTACCAGTTACCCGGGAACGGTAACGGCCCGTTGCCAGTTCCCTAGGAACGGGGTAACGGTCGTATTAAAGGAAGGTATTCTTAGGTCCTCAAGTTCCATTATTACAAGGTATCCTTAGATCTTGAAGTCCTATTACTAGAAGGTACATTTAGGTCCTCGAGTCCTATTATTAGAAGGTATGCTTAGGTTCTCAAGTCTTATTATAGGAAGGTATCCTTAGGTCTTTAAGTTCTATTATGAGATGGTACCCTTAAGTCCTCAAGTCCCGGTATTCGGTATGAGTGTTGATGGGATTCCTCTCTTCATCGATGCCCACACATCCGCCCTACATCCGTCGCCTAGTGCTGGGTCTGCTTGTAATAGGACGAAACCCTTTTAGTTTTTTAAGCACAAGGTATGTATCCCCCTGGACAAAAATAGTTCGACAAAGTATTTTCAATAAATTATTACTATAAATTAACCTTTTTGAAAAAGTAAGGATATTTTCGAATAGCCCGAAGAGTTCTATACAAAACTATATATAAATATTTTGGATTGCAATTCTCCTTAAAAAACAAATTCACGTACAATAAAGGCACCCTCATGTTCAGATTCCCATAAACTTGATTTGNCCACCCCCACCCGCACCCCCACCCACACCCACACCGACCCACACCCACCCACACCCACACCCACACCCACACCCACACCCACACCCACACCCACACCCACACCCACACCCACACCCACACCCACATCCATCCACACCCACACCCGCACCCACACCCACACCGACCCACACCGATCCACACCCACACCCACACCCACATCCTCCAAACGATATAACCTTCTAATTAAGAAAGGAAAAAAACCTACTGTACCATTGGTATTAGTCAACGAATATGCGTCGTTTGGTAGGCTTTTTCTTTCTATCTCATTTACTATTTTGTTTCAGTGACCATACATATGAGTGAAATAGTATATGACGTTATTAATTGAATGACGATCGAATGAGAGATAGAAAAGGGCAAAAGAAAGACTATAAAATAGAATAAATGCTTCATTCAGAAGAGATAACTTAGAAGGACTCATTTGCTTTCATGTAGTAGAGTTAAATTTAGAATCATTGCTTAAAACGTAATATTAAGTTTAAGTGTGATGAAGTTAGTCAAGCTTCAGATCTTCTCTACTTCATTGCGAACGAAACATAGTGTTGTCAAGACCATTCAGGTAAAAATCTCAATAAATTCTTGATTGACTCGAACAACACTATGTTTTGTTCGAATGGGGACAGAGAAAAACTCGAATTTATTAAACACAATCAATTAAACTTAATTTGAAGTGAATTAAGTATTAGGTACAACCATATCATATTTGTTTTAATTTATTCACGTTAAAAAGAGCCTGTTTATACTCAATGACAATAACATCATGGTGTAGATGAATGTTTTATTTCTCAAATATTGCATACATAAAAAATGCAGCATCTTTATTCTAAACTTTCGAATGGCAACTCAAGCAATGTTGGTACTATATTTTCATTTATTCTTTAGATTCATAAACACAAATCAAGTATGCAATTTTCATTCTTATTTGCAAGTGTATCTATCATTCTGGTTCTCATCGCAGCTACTGATTTAGGGACAACTGTTAAAATTCGGATTGAGGGCAGTAAAAATACGATCTACGTATGTTTTTGAATCAGACTGATCCAATAAGTGTCTCTATTGTGTATTTCTTTTTCTCAACGCAGGAATCAACAATCTTTACACGTGGTCAGAATGTTACTACGAAATCGGGAGGAACACACCGCTGCGATGGTACCAATTTGAACAGCAGTTCAAAAGCTGGACCCACCGCAACCAGTGCTTTAGCTGATGCTGCCAAGCATGGCCATTTCTTTTGGGATGCCGATTTCTACTCTAAATATGATGACTTTTACATTACTCGTATTGGTGATGATCAGTCAACACTTAAGCAATGGTGGGGTATTCTGGTCAATTTCAAATACATACCTGTTGGCGGATGTCAACAACGCGTTCAGCTTAATAATGAAGTTCTTTTTGCGTACGATGCATTCAGTAAGAAATACTTTCTCAAACTTACGGGGCCTTTGGCCGCTCGTCGAAGCCAGACGAAAATCTTCACTGTTACGGATGGATCTACAGGTGTACCCATTTCAGGTGCAAATGTAGGAAAACAACTATCAGACGAAAACGGACATGTTAAGATCACCTTTACATCACGTGGTCGAATGCAGCTCAAAGCTGAGCGCAACGATTCAATTCGTTCAAATGCAGTCTTCGTTCAAGTCAAGTAATTACTGGAAACAATATACTTCATGGTCACTTGTTCTCTGACTCTTTCTTGTTCTAATATAACCAAGATCCATTTTGCACATATTATACTTGAAAATAAAACTATTCGAGCATACAGCAACAATTAGATCAATTTGACATTTTTGTAATTCGATAAACTTCAAAGAGAACTGTAAAATAACTAGGAAAAATGAGTACGATACCACTGACGATGCCATAATTATTTCTTGGCAATCCATATGTTGAATCTTCAATTTATAGACACATTATCTGGTTCACGAATAATTATAGGAATGAGTGCGTCAATTTGACAAATATTGTACAGAGTATAATATGTTGGTTGTGAAGCGCTAATAATCTATTGGACTCTTCTACAAATAGACACATGTCATCACCCAATAATAACTACGTAGGTTGTTTATCTCAATTGTTTCAAATGATACACGAAATACAAATATTTGAGAGCATGAACTCAAATCGAATACGTGATTTAGTATCTGATCATCAAATGTTTTGTTTTCTAATTAGCTTCAAGAAGGAGAATAGTTGCATGCTTTTTACAGACACATTATCAATAGATAGCTGAGAATTAGGTAACACTTTCCTGAATAGAGTTTATTCCCAAGGAACGATTAAAACTAAACGTTCACTTTTCATGCGTTTACTTATATGACTATCCAAAAGTACTAGCGAAAGTATATTGCTTTCATCCCATGTAAAAAAAATAAGGCTCAGAATCAAGAGGTCCTTGATTTTAATCGATATCAAGAGAAATAAATTGATGAAAGCCTAGAAAATTAGATTTTTTTGGATTAAATTGAAGATTATAACCGATTTCTTTGTTTAATTGATTCGAAATCAATGAATTTCTCCGATGATCGTCAATTTTCTTTATGGGAATCGAATAAAATCGATTGTCAGCGATTTTAATCGGTGTGCAACGATTTTTATTAACCAATTAGAATCGATTTTTAAAGATAATCCATTTTAATCCGTATTTTATAGTGTTTTAATCGTCGAAAATCAATTATCACATATTATAATCTACTAAAATCGATTAAGTATTCGAATCGATTATAATCATCAAGCTAGAGATGCTATAAAATCATCTAATGTTGATTATTATCTAACAAGATCGTTTAATTTTTCAAACTGATTATAATTAGCAAAATAAGAATCATCTAAAATGCAATGAAACTGATTATAATCTACTAGAATCGATTATACTTTCAAATCGATAATAATTATTCATTTCAGAACCACCTATCGCCAGCAAATACTGATTATAATCGATCACAATCAATTAGGTTCTTTATTTTCTAACATGTGCATCTCTTATCATTGTCTGTATGAATAGGTGAATTAAGACTATTATGAGGATAGCAGAATTCAAATGAAGAGAAAAGAATAATAAACTATTCAGTGAAATTGAGAAAGGTGATAACGAACAAACACCGTGTTGATTTTATTACATAAAAACAATTTTTGGACCAATAGCTACCAGAGCTCCGCGGGACGACAAAAAAATCATCTCACCCGTCCCATATCCCGCGCTCCCTTGTCCCGTCCTGTCCCATCCCACTTCATTTTTCTGTCAGAGCCCCATCCCATCCTGCATCCCACATTGCCTTGTCCCGTCCTGTCATGTTCCATCCCGCCTCATTCTGTCACGTCGACATAAATCCTATTTTTCGAACTGGAATTCAAAAAAGTATGAGAAACTTGTGCTTTCATCTTCAGTGAGAATCATTTATCTCACTAATCATGTTTCAAAATAAGATTTAGACAGCGAAATTTTTATCATATAAAAAATGAACAACTCAATAAGTACAACTTCGAATACTACTCATTGAGTAAGTGATCTGAGAATAAGTACATTATTGAAATTTTGTGGATTGATTGAAGACCGACATTCAGACATGCCTAGCCCACCTCTGCTTAATTCGCGTTCGACTGTTGCGAAAGTTGCTGGAATGCAATGGATCATTCGAGTCAACTTCGACAGTTGTAAATTTTTCTGACTGAACTTCCAAAGTGTTTCTAAATAAATAAAAGATGAACCACAAAAGAATGAAATTAAAAAGAAATAAGTAGACTATCATCTGAATATACAATACTATAAAGACAGCCAATCAGATCACTTTTAACACGTGTTCTTGTATACTCAATTGATAGATGTCATTCAACTGCGATGTGTGGAAAACAATACGCGACAAATCTACGTCAAACAGACCAGATGGGACGTAGAAATAAATCAATCTTGTCCTGTCCTGTCGTGTCCCGCAAGCAATCACATCGTGTCCCACCAAATTTTCAATTTTATCGTCCCATCCTGCCCAGGCGCGGGACAGGACGGGATGGGACGGGACGGGATTAGTCCCGCGTCCCGCGGAGCTCTGATAGCTACCGTTCATGCAGTATTTTACAAATAAACTGAGCAAAAAGTTTAATTATTCTAGAATGAAAGGGATGTGTCTTCCCATGTCGCTCATTTTTTACAAATCTCGCCGGGATCTCGCGGGATTACTTTTTCTGTGCAGGAAGCCGCGGGATCCCGCCTATCCAGCAAAAAGTGACGGGATCCTGCGGCTTCCCGGCCAAAAAAAACGTCCATGTCGTCAAACTCGCCTAAGTTTTAACGATTAATCGCGATTAATTGGCGATTTTTTTCATCGCCGCGATTGATCGTCGATTTTTTGAGTAACGCAGATCTATCATCATAAATTGTCGATTGTTTTGAGATTTGTGATTGGTCGAAACTAACTGCGGATTTTCAGATATTTTCACCGAAAAAATTTTCCGACGTTTTATAACGTGCTAGAAGACAATTTTCTGACGTATCAATTATCGGTTCATTAGCTTACATAAACAAAAACATGAATTTGTAATTTGTTTTTATTCAGTCGAATTGTGTCATATTAAATTACGTAATCTATCACAATAATTGACTTGTATCACAAATCTTTGATTAATTTCCACAAAAATATTTATTGGTTAATATCCATACAAACGATGATTAATTTTCGATTGTTATTCATAGACAGCTTCTTTCAATCATCCCAACTAATTTAAAAGCATTTTCAAGGACATTTGTGCAGTCAATTGATAAAGGAGATTATTCTCAACTTTTTCTTTTCTTTTTTCTTTCATATACATTCTCACTTCACAATAAATTTTCTTAATTTTTTCCTCCAGAGAAATTTATAAATTACTCACCTGTTTTACTTTGTATTAAGAACTAGAGACAAAAAAGAATCACACAAGTCCAATTAAATTTGATTTGGTTCAGATTAAGTTTGAAAAAAGGTATGTGTAGGTGTGGGATGTGATTAAGAAGTGAAAGTCAATCTTCTATCACCCACACCACCCTTAAATTATTTTTTAAAATTTGTTTCTTTTTAAAATTACTTGTATAAGTGCCATGGCTAGTGGATTCCTTATATTTTTAAAAAGCGTATCTTAACAAAGTAGTGGAATATGCTTTGGTATTAAAAATGACCAAGGGGTATCAATTTATTCTACTATTTTAGTTTACGGATTTATGAAATAAAAAATCATATTTTTCGTAATTAACATTTCAAAATATAGATTCTAAAAAATATTTTTATATTTAAAGAGAGATATGAATAGCAATAATTTTTATGTAAAATAAATTAATTTTGGGATGATTTAAATTATAAATAAATTTAGTTAGAAATAAGTTTTTGTTTTTAAATATGAATTGCTATCATTCAAATTTATTTTTAAATGTAAATTATCAAAAAAAATTTTTTTTTATATATTTATTTTAAATTAATAGGAAAATGACATCCCTAGCTTTTACTCGCAGTAAAATTTTCGTGGTTAACAAAGTTTTGTCGAATATACCTAGAAAATTCAACAACAGCAGATATACGTAAGTTTAGTATAATTGTATATTCCGTGCCTCCAAAATACAAGCTCATCTGATCGAATGTGCTCTACGGTAATAAAAAGCGAGTTGGAACGCGCTGAGTAGGTACGAAGGTATACCGATGAGCAAAATCGTTCTCAGAGAACGTTAACAGATACTGAACAGACTCGTTCTATAAACATCCAGTCTTGAAAAAAAAGTTGATTTTTCTATCTTTTTTTCATGGGAACCATCTTTATTGATTAGAAGAAAATCGCGGAATAATCGCGATTTTTCTGAAGAAATCGGGAAAAAAATCGCCAGAAATCGCACAATGTGACGATTTTATCGCGATATAATCTCACAATTAATCAGCATGATAGATCACGATAAATTGTCGATTTTTGCGCGATTTTCATCACATGGGTGGGATTCCGGCATTTTTCGTGGGATTGCCGGGATCTTGCGGGATACCGCACAGGATCCTGGACGAGATCTCGCGGAATCCAGGGGGGAAATTGCCGGGATGAAAGACATGGCCATTGATTATTTTCTTTCTGACAAATGTTACAAACCTTCAAAGGAAATTTTTGTACTTCATTCAACAAATCAACTTTGAACAATAAATTCGAGATATTTCAAATATTAATTGCAATAAGTAGATGCATCTGATTATATATAAAATGGACTTTCCAAAGCTGGAATAAATCGTCATATAGAATGAGTTAATAGAAAATTTTTGAAAGAAAACATAATCTATTATATATAGAATAATTGTAAGCAAGTTACTCACAGCTGTTTATCTGGGATGACTCATCTGATAGCACACTGACTATGTGCTTAACGTGAGTCCACGAAAATTGGTCGAACGAAAATTAGTGTAAGAAAATTGATCGATACGAAAAGTAGTCATTACAAAAATTGATCGGCGCGAAAAAAAGTCGAAAGATTCTTAATGCAAAAAAAGAAGATAAGAATTTCTCAACAAGAGTGACAACAGTGTGAAATATGTACTAATATTAGTCTGTAAGGTATAACTTTTAAAACATGTGTCGTAGTATCCTGTTCAAGTAAAGTGGACTCCAACCTCGCTCTACAGCAGTTATTTTTAAAGAAAACAATAAAAATAAAAATGGAATGTCGGTGTTAGGATGGATTCAGTTGAACTTCAGCGCACACTGGAATTCACAGCAGTTCTGACACTGACCCCTGCATTTACACTAACGCTGACAATAGTACCACACTCTCCAAATGCATTTTCTTTTTAGCAGCTTCACACCTTTATCAAAATTAATTTCGATACAATTTCATTAAAATACATGTATCTAACAATTTTAATTTAAAAAAAAATTCTAGTTCATATGCTGCATGTGTTAGAAAAAAGCTCTGTTGTAGTTGATGGACAGTTTACTAATGGCATATTCCGTTTTTTCTTGTAGTGCTTTCGCTGATATGTCCTATTTGAAACTTTTTTTTATTGAGAATTTTTTGACTATTTTTCACGTCGATCAATTTTCGTATCGACTAGTTTTCTTTCACCAATTTTCTTTCGACTAATTTTCGCTTTCTCAAAAATGTGAACCTACTTTCAGTAACATCACAAAGAAAATCATTGGTTTTCATATTTTGTTTTTAATTAAAATCTAAAAATGTTAATATATTCTCTTTTGATTTTTCTTTTCTTCTAATGTTGCTCTTATCTTATATATTATCTTAAATCTTGCATATGAATATAGAAAATTTAATCTGATACAGAAAAATAGAGAAAAAAAGGAAATTTTTAATTTTTTTTTACCAATTAGTCAATGAAAGTGTTAACTTAGTATGATAAATTTCATTTCAAATATAAACTATTTGTTCACCACGTTCTACGTAAATCAGCAAAAATTCAATCAAGTTGTTCTGTTAAAGGTTCAAGTTTTTCATATCTACAAAAGACAAATATTCATACATTTATATTAAGAATAGGTATCTACAGGGTGGCCCAAAAGTGATAGAGCAAATGATTTTTTCGATATTTTTTTCTTTCTACATCGACAGTTATATCTAATAGTTATACGAAATATACCAGGTGATACCAGCGAGAGATGTAGCATATGATCAGCTTCTGGACTTAGTAATTTGTTCCAAATTATATAAATATGTCTGAATTCTTTTTATACGGCTACATTAGAAATTCGATGTTTTTGCGTAGTATGTTTGCTTTTCGTATTCTTATATGCTTATCCCAATCTGGGAAACAATTCGATTCAATTGAACTTTTTCATCTTATCATTTTAAAGAAACTAAAAATCTTAACGATTTGAATTGTTTCTTAGATTGAGATAAGCATATAAGAATACGAAAAGCAAACATACTGCGAAAAACATCGAATTTCTCCTATAGTCATATAAAAAGAATTCAGACATTTATATAATTTGGAAAAAATTACTAAGTCCAGAAGCTGATCATATGCTACATCTCTCGCTAGTATCATCTAGTATATTTGGTATAAATATGAGATATAACTGTCGATGTAGAAAGAAAAAAATATCGAAAAAATTATTTGTTCTATCACTTTTAGGACATCCTGTATTTTAGAATAATATCTTATTTATATGCATTATTTATATTTATCACGTGCTCATCCAAAAAGAATAATGTGAATATATCCTGAAATTCATAAAAAAAAATTTATTTTTAATTAATTTAACCATATGCTATCTACCTCTAATACATATAAAGAAATTTTTATTTTTTCACCTTCTTTTTCATTTGTATATTGGGACAAATATACTTATCGACTCCTCCCCCCCTCATCTATCTTCAGGTTCCAGGTCGATCGTTCCGACCATCTGAAACGGCGTCTTATTCGGTCTGAAACGGCTATAAAACGGTGAATTACGGCCTTAATTTTAACCTTATTTCGCCGTAATCCGTCACACCGTTTTAAGAGCCGTTTTTATGGCTAGAAAACGACCGTCGTTTTATCCCGGTTTTGCTTCCGTAATCTGGTACGACGCATTACAGTGTTGTCTTTCGATGTTTTTCAACGTTTTATACCGTTATTACACCGTTTAAGGCCATTTACGGCGCCGTTTTATTGGACATGGGATGTGAGCGTGGGTGGATGTGGGTGTATGTAACAAGTAGATTCACACACACACCCACCCCCGACCAAATTCAGTAATATTATAAATGACCTCTAAAAAGAAAAAAATATACATTTTAAAGAAAAGTATTTTTCTTACTTTATTCTGTAGATAATGATGAATAATATAACAATAAATTAAAACGAACATGTGATCGAATTTCTTTTTTATTTCCTTTTTTATTTTCTCGCAACAGTTTGATTAATAATGCATCCATATTTATTTATCTAGAAAAAAAGGTTATTTAATCTTAATAAAAACTAGAGATGTAGATTTACATTTAATTTATTATAAATACAGATTTCAGAAAATTTATATTTATAAAAAATTAAAATATTTTTCTTAAAATTTATATTTATTTTAAATATAAATCCTTTGCTCATTATGATTTAATAAATTATAAATTTAAATAAATCATCCTACGTTTTTTTCCATAATAATTCCTCAAAACCACCTAGATCCTGAAGGTGAATTTTTGCCGATTCCTCAGATTATTGAAATTAACTATCTGAGGACTACTCAGAAGCATCAAAGGTAACCATCTGAGAGTGATCTAGGGGTACTCAAAGTTACTGTCTAAGAGCTATATGGGGTACCAAAAGTAACCAACTCAAACTTCCCAGAGCGTACTACCCCGCAGATGTGTGATCTTCCACCTAAAGGGCAAAACGAGACATGGCGGGAATGGGAGAAGGATGAGGTTCTTAGATCATCGTTTTCTCCACTATTGTAAGGCTGAAACATACTGTTGTCCATGTCGATTACAGATTTTCAGGGATTCTCTATAATTCTCCCCGAACAACCTTATCTTTTGTCATTGCCATAGTGGAGAAGGTCATGACCCAAAAAAAATCCATTCTCCCCACCCCCAATGTCACGTTCTCTCCCATAGCTAGAATACAACAATGGGTTGCTCGGGGCGAATTATAGAAGATCCTTGAAAACCTATAATCGACACCGACAACACAATTTTTCGCACTTAGAATAGTGATAAAAACGATGATTCAAAGACCCCATCCTCCTCCTTTCTCCCACCTATGTCTTGTTCTCCCCTACCTCTCTCTTCTCGCTCTTTCTTCGCTATCTTAAGGATACCTGAATTAGATAATTGCAATGTAGTAACACAAAGAGAACTACTCAATGAGTAGATAAATCATGGATAAGTGATATGTATACCCCAGTCGGACTGGGCATCACCATAATATAGCCGTTGGTGATCTTTAGTTACCTTTATGCAATAGCCCTTAAAGAACTATGGATACCTCCATTATATAGTTGTTGAGAACCTTTGGATATCTCTGTAAAATCAGAGCTGGAATTGGTTGGAAAATGATAGACCCGTCCGATGCAGCTGGTAAACAAACCAATTGAAATCACAGATTCAAGCGATAAAATTCAGTGAAAAAATGGTGATGTTTTTTTTAAAAACGAGATTTTAAGAAAACAATTTACTACAATTACAGAATAGGTAAGAAGAGCATATAAGAGATACTCAGCATAATGAATCTATTTGAAAAGAACCTCAGCACACATGATTAAAACAAAATGTGTTTTGAGTAGTTTTTTTTAACAAATTGATGTTCATTAATTGATAATAAATTTGTATCAATTGCACATAGGAATTCTTTTTCACATTTATTTTTTAATAATTTATTAAAATTAGGCATATGATTTTCTCTTAAATTATTTCATATACCAATAATTATTCGACAATTATTTGATATAAATAAAGCAATAAATCATTTTCCATTATCTTGATGTATATATAAATAAATACATTGTAATGTACCAACTTGTAAATATGTTTGCTTCCATACAGATAAAAATTCTAATTCATCAAATTAATATAGATTTGAAAGCATACTTGTACGATAATGTTTTTTATGTAATGTATATATACAATCAAATATAATAAGTAAATGAAAATCTAATGGTACATTCATTTCATAAACACCTTCAATATTTGGATTACTTAAATCGGTCATTATATCTATATAATAATCACGAAATATATTTTCATCTAAATGATATTCGCATAAATAATAAACTTGTGAACAATTATCTATAATACGTTCATAATTAGCAGAGTGCTGTGTTTGATTACAAATTAATTCAATTGGTGTACAATAATTAACATAGAAAGTTCTTGGAACTTTTATTTTTATTTGTAATAATTCATGTTCAACTAAACACCAGTCTTTAAATATACCAATTTGATCAGTTAATTCATATGTGATGTTACTTGTCGTCGACATATATGTAAATGTTCAGCTGCACGATGAATATATGTATCGATTTTTACATTCATTGAATTTGTTTTTTTTAATGATATTTGAGGATTATTAGATGTTATTGATGGTTGATGGCATTGTTTACGTTGAATATCCCATTTATGTTTTTGATAATTGAGCCATTTAATATGTTCATTTGTTGTTTGTCCAAATAATGGTAGTGGACCAAGAACAATTCCCCATTGACGTATGATTGATTCATCAATTAATTCATCACGTTTACGTTGTACTGTTTTGTGTTTTTTATTTTATCTTATTGTTATTGAAGATTTTGTTTCATCAGTTCCAATATCTTTAACCCTTTCCGGCCGGCTATTTGAAAAATGCCGTACCTCTATAGGGGAAAATGTTGCCATATGGCAACATTCGGCCGGAAAGGGTTAATATCATTTATTAATTGTTGTTCATTATTATCAATATGTGTTTGTTTGTTTATCAATTGAATTCAATGTCTCAGTTACAAGTTTTTGCTTAAATAAACTATTTTTTTCAATTAAATATTTATGTAATTAATCAGAATGGGATACACATCCTGAAGGATTACGAATATTTTGTAATATAACTGGAATAGTCATGATTTTTTGTATGTAACTATTAAAACGTTCAATATAGCAATTCCAATCAAGTATATCTTGTATATCAAGATTATCAACTGTTGAAAGATATAACCATTTATATATATAATGATTACGTATTGATTGTACTGATTGAAATATAGCTAGTGGTATAGCACGTTCAATTACAGACAGATCGCGTGGAACATTTACAATAACGAAACGACAACAAAGATCTTTACATTTAATTACATCTTCATCCAGAAATTTAGCAAGTTAAAAGAAACAAAATTTTCGACTTTATATTGAATTAAAATATATAAAAGTTATTTTCAAATTTTCTCTAATGAATTATTTGTTTTAATAAAATAGTAATTACTATGAAGTTCAATCGTAAATGAAAGTCAAATTTGGTCCTTAGCTAATAAAGATAATCATAAAAACTTAGTTCATTCCACATAAAAACGGCTTAGATATAAACTGAGTTGAAATCAAGACAGAAACTCAAAAATAGTTTATTCTAATCGGCGCCCAAGAAGTAGCAAATCATCTCGAACTTATCAGAAATTGATAGAGGAGTATAGAACAAAAAAACTGAGGGTCTGATTCATGCCTAACCTCATCGAATCAAAGGCAACAAAGGACGGTTTGATATCATATTAAATTACTTTTTCTTCATTGATAAGTCTGATAAAAATTCGCATAATGATGCTTTTTAATATACACAAAACGGTCACTCAGCCCATAGTGTACATAGTAGACTCAATCAAATTGACAAGTTTTGAATTCAGACTCGGTTTATTGAACATTTCGCAAATCTCGAATCTTCCTCTTAATACTCTAAATGAAGTTTATTAATTCGTATCTGAAAGACCCTCTGAAGACTCGAGATATTTTTGTCAATTGTTTGTATTCCACAAGTAAAACACGCAAGTCAAACTATCAAACGATAAGATTTTACAAGATCATACCTCTGATTTTATAAGATATTACTATAAGATTATTGAAGAAATCTTACCCAGGTCAAAAAATCAGTTATAAGATTTTAGGATCTAAAATCTAATCATGTATAATCTTGTAATATCAGACGAATAATCGTACGAAAATTATGATCTCAGAACTCTTACATCAAGTCGTACCTTAGGATTTTTCATAGATCTTGATGTTTTGTAAAATATTACTGTAAGATTATAGAAAATCTTATATTACGATAAGATCTCATAAGAGTATTATAGTATGATTTGATGTAAGATTTCTGAGACCAAGATTTTTTTGTCTAATCTTACAACATCTTACATCTGAGTTTTTGACCTAGACATTCTAGACATTACTCAAATAATCTTGACGATTATAGTACAAGAATCAAGTTGTAATTGACTCTTACTTTTAGAGTAGCATCGTTCGACTCAGACTCTAGCATGCAGTGTTGTAATTATACTCAGTTGTTATTATATGATTCTTTCTTTTCTTTTTCTTCGGTGTTATCTATAGAGATATTTTTTCTTAAGATTTTTACATGTTCGCATATCGATTTATTCTATATGGTGATACAGTCATATACTTTGCATTATTATATTAGATTTTCGATACTTATCTCTTTATGTATATGAATATATTATTAGGAATTTAGTGGATGACGTTTCTTGGACGTTGAATTTGTCGCATATTTTGAGATCTTAAGACCATAGGTCTCGATTAGGCAAGCACTAGTCTCCATCACTTTTTACACCGTATTTATGGAAATTTTCATTTGTTCTCTGAAGACTGTCTGTCAAATTTTTAGTCCCTTCGACTTCAGAAAATTATCGAAAACTATGCTTCAAACAGATACTGATTTCGCCATATAATATCTATAGATATCATCAAAAAACTATATAGTCGATTTTTTTTTCGTATAATCCTAACCTTTTAGTTGTCGAAATTTATGTTGATTTTTTTTCTTCATAATCAGATAACATTCTTGACATAGTTCTTCTTTCGGATATTAATTCAAATAATTCTTTATCTAATATATCTTGAGCATATGAATATAACATATCAAGCCAATAATCATAGTAATAGTTTTAAATATGATTATAAAATTCTTCAAGTGTTGTTCCTTCAAAAAATGCTTCAAAAACATTTGCTTGAAATATTTTTATTAATTGTAATTTATCATTACGTTTTACTTCAAAATCTTTTAATTCGATTATGAACCATCCATATTAAAAACATAATAACGCTTTTTTTATACGTTCTCGTTCTTCTTTCGATGCTAGTAATATCATTGTTAAATATGGACTATCAATTTAAAAAAAAAACTGAATTTTCTGAACGAATGTCATATTGATGTTTTTCTTTATCAACTAATTCATGATATTGATTATTTGTATAATAATCTTTAATAATTAAATTTAATAAACTACATGAATAATATAAAACAATTTTTGGACGTGATGGATCACGTGCTATTAATTGATAATTTTCATGAAATGTTGCTGGTAATAGACACTATATACCATCCTAAACTCGAGATATTGACTAAATCACAATAATCGATATCTTACTGTATCAAATTCCAAATGTCTTAATTATTGTTGAACTAGTTGTATAAACAATACCTCCCATTTTCATTCGATGCCATCATTGGTTACCTAAAGAAAAAAGTTTTATTTAGTATTTGATAAAGATTTATAATAACCTCTTCGCATGGCATAACCATAAAATGGATTAAGAATACATTTATGTGTAAGTTGTAATGAATTCTAAAGATGGGAAAAAAACTTTTAAGAAAATAAGAAATGAAATTTAATAATATACATAAATAATAATTAAACTATAACATCTTTTTACTTCATTAAAATTTTCTTTTTTTTATTGCATTAGCTAAACTTTTCCCCATTATTTATGTAAACCTCTATATTCGTAAGGTCGATCACGAAATGCTCGAATAGTATCAACATAAAATGAATTTTCACATTGACGTACAGTTGTTTCACGAGTTTCTTCTCGTGTATGATTTACTTTTTTATATGCTTTAAGACAATAATCAGCTAAACGTTTACGTTCAATTGATAATTGGATATGCTCTGGTAATTCATGAAATGATAGAGTATTATTATTATTAACTAAGAAGAACAAACAATTAAGATTATTTATTAAGATTAAAATCAATATCAACATTTCTTTGATATATCTGTAAATAATTTTTTTTCAATTGTTTGTCCATTAAATAAAAATTGTTCATTTTCAAGTTGTAATTAAATTCGTTTTACTTCGCACTACGTGTAGCCGAAACATAAGTTTCACGCCATATTTAATCCATTTTATGTAGACAACATGCATTTGGACGATTTACATCACATTTTGCACATATTGTTAAATCCACAATAGCTGATGGTTGTAAACGATTTGTACGAATCATATTTGGATACATAGCATCAACATCTAAATGATATTTTTTTTTAATTTTGTAATCATTGTAAAATATCTTCTTTTATGTCAGATAAATTTTCTATTAAATCAATAGATAATTGTTCTTCATTTTCAATTAATTGTTGAAGTGTTCGATCGATATTATCAATTAAATATTGAACTGTTTCACTAAAATAAAATTTTTATTTTTAAATCTCAAATAAAATAATGAATATTAAAAAAATGCATACGGAACAATTTTAAATCGACATGGTATATCACCAAGAAAGACTCCTGATTCAAATCCTTCAACATTTACACCAACATATGTTTAAATAACAAGTTAGTGACCATCACTTGTATATTTATACGGTTCATCTTCATGTTTATTTTGAAAAATAACATCAGCCATAAATGCTTGTACCATCAATAATGTTTTACATAATTTTCCCAAACCTAAAATTTATCAATTTATAATAAAATCACAATCTATATTTTCTTGTTTAAAAGTTTATTTTTAATCATAAACTAATTTCTTTTTGCATTCTGTTCATATTTGCAATGAAACATATGTTATCTATGCGTAATTCTAGATAATATGGTTTTAGGTAATTATAATTGTATGTTCAGATCTACTCTCTAATAACTATTACATGATATTCACATGTATACTTAATTGAAAAAGCTTGTCAGCGCAGCCCCTTTAGGGCTGAAATGTGGAACTCACATATTTCCTTTGGTTTCATTATACTAATGACAAAATGCCCAATATTTAAAATCTCCAAAATATAAGAATTTTTTTCTAAAGATAATCGATTATTAGAAAATGCTATATTTTTATCTCTAAGTTTCGAACAGAAATTTTTTTTTTCACGAAGTTGCTGTGGTCTGTAATGGGGGGCTGTCTGTAATGGGATGAGAGGGAGGGGGAGCCGCCAACCTCGAACTGAAAACTTACACTCACTATTTTCTTCGAAAACATACGTGAGTTCCACAAAATCTATTAAATCATTCGATAATGTAGTAACTATTATTCTGACTTCTAAAAACAAAGCTTAGATCGAAAAAATGACGAATGTAAATTGTTGTATATTAATACAGTACATGTGTTATTCCTCAGTAACTTCTATCATGACAGCTAAAGCTACTGTATGATAACTATGTTATAGATAGTTATCCACAGATGAATTCTCATTTTTAGATCCTATCCTTCAATTTCGAGAATATCCATTATGACGTTATCATTATCACGACTACTATTTTTTACTCTTTCAATAGACATGTCTAATATGCGTTCTGTTAATATTTCTCAAAATTTGACTTATCTATTAAAAGAAAAAAAATATTTTGTTAAATTAACTTTTTTGAAGTACTTCATCTGGTCTCATTGAAATAATTGTGCCAAGTGAAAAAATAAATGTATGAACAAATTTCATATATAAATAATATGTTGCTACAGCATCAGTTACAGATTAATTTGATAATGTTTGTAGTTGTTCAACATCTAAATGACACATATTTTCAGGATAAACAATTGGATTATAACATAATTTAGCTTTTTTTACAGCTTTAAGACCATGACTTCCAATAGGTAAGTAACTATTACGTTTAACCCATTTAATACAATCCATATATACACATGGACGTGATAAATAATAATCTTGGGAATCTTTTCGAAAACCAATTTAATTAAACATATTTAAACCATAACATTATGCACATTGTTCAATAAATGGTATACCAAATGTATCCTTTTCTTATTTGATGCATATTCACAATGATCAATATCTTGAGAGAAAATTTCACAATTTATTATTAAACAACCTTGAGTATCAATCGTATAGGAGATCATCATAATCTATGAATAATTAAAAAAAACAGTATTTTATTGATTTTTCTGAAGTATTTTTACCTGATCGGATGCAGGAGATTGAAATTTCAATGGCATTTTTGTACATTCAATATCAAATACAAAATTAATTGGTTGTGCTTGTTCAATCAAATCTGGTTTTAATACAAGTTGATTCTGTGATGTACTACTTGATTGACCACGAACACCGTACTTAATTAAATAAAAAAATTGCAATCTTTCCAATAATAAAATTTCAATACAAACCAAAGTCTAACATGAATTTTTAAGTCAATAGAAACTCCAATATGGTAAGGTACATCAAATTCTCGTAATTCATTCCTCTACTCGTGCATGCAGTAGTAAGACGCATTTGTTCTTGCTACTTTCGTTCTTTGAAAAACATTCTTCTTTTATCTTACTCACAGAATCTAAGGCGAAGACCTTTTGACTCTGTGAATCAATGAACTCCACAGAGGGCTTCCCAATTAGTTCTGTGGGTTTACAGCAACCAGTATATATGGCCGATGAAAATTCGGACAGGTACAACGGATTAAACACTGGCGCATCAATTCCCAACAATGAAATAACAAAAGAACAACGAATTATCTATTATACTGTCCCGGCAAATATCCAGTCGATTACTCCTCAACCTTATATCTACATGCAACAACTGCCAAATAGTCAAAGTACTCATCAGTTTTCACCAACGAGACTAATAATCCAACAAGCTCCACAACAACAATCATTATCAAGCAATAACGTTATATCCACCAGCACACAACAACCCACAATGCATTCCAACATGAATTGTCAACATGCCGTTCTAGCAGCGTGCCAACCACCGATTAATATCAATGAGCAACCAGCACCAGTAATGATTAATCCAACAAGCTCCTCAACACCAGTACCATCCAGTACCAAGAGAGGGCGTAATGACACTAGTGGAATATCAGAAACGTATATACAAGTACGATCTCAATATCCACAGATGACTCACACGTCAGACACTAGCAATGCGCCTATAAAACGACATCGTGGTATGAATCAACCGATGATACAGTTATCAAATAATCAATTTGAACCTAGTGCAGCGGCTTGTCGTTTCACTGCCACTCGGTTTCCGTTCTCGCTGTTTACCGTCATTTTCTCACAAGAAGTTCGTGACAAGATAGTTATTGATGATCTAACCAAACATGCAAAAGAAAATCGCAACTTTGAATTAAAAATGATAGCATATAGGCGTGGACGTACAGAAGATAACCAACATCGCATATTAATCTTTGTTGAGAACGCCGAGTCATTTGTGTTCTTGTACAATCAGGAAAATTGGTCCAACGTATTAGCTGGCTTGCAGTACAACACAACAAGACCATCGATTCCGCCACAACTTGCTCTTGTGATACCAGCTGTATCACTTCTGGTAGATTGGGAGGATTTTACTCAAGAATTAAAGGACACTAATCCTGACATAATAAATGTTATCCGATTAAAAAATAAATCACAGCATCCAATACGTGCAGTTAAACTCGAATTTATGTCGGTAAAAGCGCGAAATGAAATACTTGAAGCTGGAGAAATTACAGTGCTACACTTAAAATACAAAGTGGTTGAATTCTATGCACAAGCAAATGTACTAATCTGCTCTAACTGCGATGGCATAGGGCACTTCAGGAAGAGTTGTCCTCAAAAAAATGAATCAACATGTAAAACTTGTGGTGAAAGATCAACTAATTTAAAAGATCATAACTGCTCAGGTATTCCAAAGTGTATTCGTTGTGGTGAAGCACATGTCTCAAACGATCAAAAATGCAAAATAGTTCAACAGTATCGTGCTACCTTAACTCGTAATCTCCTAGCAAATGTTATAACAGCAGCTCATCAAAACATTGAAACAGAACCTCCAGACAATGAGTANAGGGGGGCTACCTAATACAGATCAGCGATCGATTTTAATTAATAACGTGTTATTGATGAATTATTAGTTCTTTGTGTTTTCGATAGAACTTGATCGAAGGTAATCGAGGGTGGGTAACCCAAATCTGGAATCTGCTTTGAATTATCAATCATAAACATTTTTTACGACATTTCAAAGGGAAAATTTGTGATTAGTACTGGGATCCAAAGTCTCTTGGTTTTTTACTAAGAACTACTGTCATTCGTGTTTTTTCTGGCGAAATTCACCAAAGAATTTTTGAAAGAAAACATAAGGATGTAGAGAAGTTTGTATTAATAAGCTAGCGATGCTAAGGAGTAGTAAAATGCATTAATGTCACCATAGTTTATAGAAAAACTTCAGTTGAGAAAATTTTGAGAGTTGAATTTCAATCTGGAGCTAGCTACTATTACTTATGTTGATTAGTGAAGAAATTGAGAAGCGTCCATAAACGGCTGTTATACGAGAAAGAGCTGAGCGAGTCCACCGACGAGCGTTACTTGTTTTTAATCGTAGAGATGATTAATGATTTACTTAAAAACTTTGAACTTTGAATTTTGAATATTTGTTCTTGACAAAATATATTTATTTGATTAAAATGTTTTCAAAGAATAATTTTAATTAATCATTTCGAATGATTTCGATCGATTTATAAATAAACGAGAAATAAAGAAAAGATAATGAATCTGATACACACGACTACAAGGAAAAAATAACAAATATACTGTTAAAAAGATTCTCAATAATCATCTGCTATTATGGATCTTAATCGTAAACGAAAGTCGAATATTGTCCTTAGTCAATGAAGATAATCATAAAAATTTAATTCATTCGACATAAAAACTATTTAGATATAGACTGAGTCGGAATCAAGACCGAAATCTTAAAATGGTTGACTCTCATGAACGTTTAAGAAGTAGCAAAGCATCTCGAACTTATCAGACATTAATAGAGAAGTATAGAATAATAAATCGAGGATTTGATTTATGTCTAAGCTCATCGGATCAAAGCAACAAAGAGCGGTTCGATATCATATTAAATTCCTTCTTCCTCATTACTATAAGTCTGATCAAAATTCGGAAAATGAATTTTTTTAAATATACGCAAACGGTCACTTAGCCCATAGTATACACAATAGATTCGATTGAGTTGAAAATTTTTGAAGCCAGATCCGGTTTATTGAACATTACTCAGACCTTGAATCTTACTCTTAATACTGTAAATGAAATTTATTAATTCGTATCTGAAAGACGCTTTGTAGATCCGAGATACTTTTGTCAATTATTTGTATTCAGCAAGTAAAACATACAGGTCAAACTATCAAACGATAGGATTTTACAAGATCATACTTCTGATTTTGCAAAATATTGCTATAAGATTATAGGAGAAACCTTATCCAAATAAAAAAAAATCATATACATAAGATCTTAGGATCTGAAGTCTAATTGTGTATAATCTTGTAATATCAAACGGAAATCGTGTGAAAAATCATGGTGTCTGCAAAACTTACATCAAGTCTTTATGTACGATTCTTGCAAGACTATGCCAACCTATGACGCGAAAGTCTCTTGCCACAAAATCTACAATCAAATAAATTCATTTTTTTGCAAATTTTGTGGCAAGATTTTCGTACTATAAAAATTATCTCTACAATCTTGTAAGAATCATACGTGAAGACTTGATGTGAATTTTACAGAAACCACAATTTTTCATACGATTTTCATCTCATCTTAGAAGATCATACAAGATCAGAGGTGCGATCTTGTATGATCTTATCGTTTGATTGTTTGACCTGGATATGTAATAGTAAGATCTTTCTAGAATCTCTTACTACAATTTAATGTAAGATTTCTGAGACTACGATTTTGTCTATTCTTATAACATCTTATGTCTGATTTTTTTGACTTGGACATTCTACACATTATTCAAATAATCTTGCCGATTATCTTACAAGAATCAAGTTATAATTGGCTCTTATTTTTAGAATAGCATCGTCTGGTTCAGGTTTTATGATGCAGCGTGTTTTGTTATGTCCTCAGTTGTTATTATATGATTCTTTCTTTTCGGTGCTGTCTATAGAGATATTTTCTCTTAAGATTTTCATATGTTCACGTATTGAGTTATTCTTTATGATGATATAGTGATATAATTTGCATTATTATATTAAGTTTTCAATATTTATCTCTTTATGTATATGAATATATAATTAAGAATGGAAATATTTTTTAGTGGATAATGTTTCTTTGACATTGAACTTGTCGAATATTTTTGAGATCTGAAGACAATAGATCTCGATCAGGTACGTAAGAGCTAGTTCTCATCACTTTCTATATTGTATGTATGAAAATTTCCACTTGTTGCCTGAAAACTGTCTGCCAAATTTTTAATCTCTTCGACTTCAGAAAATTATCGAAAACTATGCTTCAAACAGATATTAATTTCACAATATAGTATCTATAGATACCATCAAAAACTTATACAATCGTTTTTTTTTTCGTATAATTCTTACCTATTAGCTGTCGAAATTGATGTTGATTTGTGTTCTTGATCATCAGATAACATTCTTGACATAGTTCTTCTTTCCGAAATTAATTCAAATAATTCTTTATCTGATATATCTGTTCTTTAGCATGTGAACATAACATATCAAGCCAATAATCAACAATAGTTGCAACATGATTATAACATTCTTTAAGTGTTGTTTCTTTAAGAAATGCTTGAAAAACACTTGCTTGAAATAATTTTTTTTTATTAATTGTAATTTTCCATTATGTTTTACTTCAAAATCTTTTAATTCAGCTATTGAATCATCTATATTAAATACACAATAACGTTTTTTTTAAATACCTTTCTATCTTCTTGTCATGTTGGTGATATCATAGCTAAATATGGACCATCAATTTAAAAAAAATATCGAATTTTCTTAACGAATTTCATATTGATGTTTTTTATCAATTAATTCATTATATTGATCATTTGTATAATGATCTTTAATAATTAAATTTAATAAATTACATGAATAAGATATAACAACTTTTGGACGTAATGGATCACGTGTTATTAATTCATAATTTTCCGAGAACGTTGCTGGTAATACACACCATATACCATCCTAAAATCGAGATTTAATAAATAACAAGAATCAATATCTTACTGTATCAAATTCCAAAGGTCGTTCAATTTGTTTAACAAGTTCTCGATTACGTTTAATGATCGTTGAACCTGTGATACATACAATACCTTCCATTTCTATTCGATGCCATCGCGCACCTAAAGAAAATGTTTTATTTAATATTGATTAACATTTGTAATAACTTTTTCGCATGATATAGCCATAAAATGGATTAAGAATACGTTTATATGCAAGTTGTAATGAATCCTAAAGATGAAAAAAAAATTTTCAAGAAGAAATAAGAAATAAAATTTAACAACGTGCATAAATAACAATTAAATTATTACATCTTTTTACTTCATTAAGATCATCTTTTTTGCTGCATTATCTAAACTTTTTTCCATGGTTTATATAAACCTTTATATTCATAACGTCGATAACGAAATGCTCGAACAGTATCAACATAAAAAGAATTTTCACATTGACATACAGTTGTTTCACGAGTTTCGTCTTGTGTATGATTCACTTTTATATGCTGTACGACAATAATCAGCTAAATGTTTACGATCAATTGATAATTGAATATCTTGTAATAATTCATGAAATGATAAAGTATTATTATTGTTAGTTAAAATAATAACTAATTAAGATTATTGATTGAGATTAAGATCAATGTCAATCTTTCTTTTTATCCTTCGGCAAAGAATTTTTTCCCAATTGTTTGTCTATTAAATGAATATCATTCATTTTCAAGTTGTATTTGAATTCGTTGTACTTCACTACATGTAGCTGGAACATAAGTTCCACGCTATATCTAATCCACATTTTACGTTGACAACGTACATTTCGACGATTTAAATCACATTATGCACATATTGTTGAATCAACAATAACTGATGGTTGGAAACGATTTGTAAGAATTATATTTGGATACATAGCCTGGGCTGCGATTCGACCTATATTTCCTATATTTTCAAAAAAGTCCTATTTTTGTCCTATATTTTCACAAAAATTCCTATTTTTCCTCTATTTTATCAAAAAAAGTAGAAAATTTCCAAAACCTATAAATTTTGCTATTCTCTTTAGATAAAAAAAAATCTTGTGCGTATAACCATATGTTTTGAACCAGTTCTTTTCTTATAACGACATCAGTTTTAAACAGAGTATTTTTCTTTTCACCTATTTAATGGGCTAACTGAGAAATTGTTTAACGCTAAGTACAAAATACAAAATAGTTCAAAAGAAAACAAAACACTCACAAACTGATCATGTACTAGTTCCTGGTTTTTAGTGAAGTTTTACTTGCGGCCTGCCCAAGCGTGACGAAATAACGTTTTTTCACTTAATCCTCGAAATATCTCAACAAATAAAAGGCAGACGGGGTTAATATTTTGCAAAAAGATATAAGTCGGTCTGCTCTACATATTATAAAAATTTCACGAGATTTTGCCTTTCCGTTACATTTTTATGGTTTAAATATATGCCCGTGACGGAATAATCGAAAATGAACTTTCAGTTAGAGTCGTGTAAAAAGAACTTAAAACTTTAGCTCAACTAAAACTGTGATTAAAAACTTTTGTATAGGAAAGCTATTGCTTAGATGAGGAGCTATTTGTAGAGAAAAAAAAACAAGCCAAAATATACGACAGCTTTGCCTCACAAGTTTAAAATATTATCGCGATGGAATAGGGTTTTGAAAATGCAGATATTTGTTTATATGTTTTTCGTCAGAAAATTAGAGGTAGTTTATCGAATTAAGTACATAACTTTTATCTAGCGTAAAATTAAATCAATAAAGCTAATCATTTACAAGAGTTATCATAATATAAAAGTATTACTTCTCTTCTCAGAACCCACGGAAACATGATAGATTAGAACCGTATTTTTGCGCAACAAAATCAAAATTATACTCGATTCAAATCTTCCAAATCAACGATAATTTTGATTCTGTACAAGATTCTATTTGATTTGGAAGCTTATTCTTGGTTAAAATCAGAAATTCTTTCATCTGGGAGATTTCAATCCAAGATAATTTTGATTTGGTGGAACGAAAATCCGGTTCTAATCTATTACTTACACTGGTAATATAATTTGCTGTGAGCGTGTGGCTGCGGGTGTGTGGGTGTGAAGATGTGACCGTAGGTTTTCATACATTTTCCTTTAGTATTCGCACACCCACCCATCCACAACCGCAATCATGGCCGTAGCCACACTTCACACCCACCCACACTACTGATTTATAAAAGACACCATAAAGTAACTTCTAGAGTGGTCAGCAAAGTCTTCAAATCCTGTCTGCACACAAACACGCCTATATAGTGTTCATGTCCGTGAAAGAGAATATCTCTAATTTTCATATGAAAAAAAAGTCATCTAATGGTGATTCCGTCACGCTCAATCCAGCAAACTCAAATATTTAAAAAAACAGCAAGAGTTTGGTCTGATAGAGCATAAAAATTTAGTGTTGTAGGACTTCTAGGCAAAATTTAAAATTGCTTCCTGACAGCTAGAAATGAATGAAAAGATGTTTTCGCGATGAAATAACGCTCACAATGCCGTAATTTACAAACGCAAACAACTATTGCGTGAAATGGTGAGAACTGCATCTGTTGTGATGAATGAAGAGACCATTCATGACGGTTAAGCATTAATATGATTGACTTTAGAAAATGCATATTTGCTTACGCAAAAATTGAGAATATAAAAAAAGACCAAAAATATAGTTGTTCATTGATTTAGTGTAGTGTCTTTTCAACAGCAGTTTTTTCTCAAAAATCGACACAACTAAAAACTTCGGATATATACAGTGGCTGTCAAAATTGTACGACCACCCCTTATAGTGTACTTTTGTTGCCTAGTTTTTCGATGATGACAGCAGATAGAAACTTTTAGTTTTCACCACATTAGTCTTTAATGCTTAGG